TCCTACCGATGCTGTCATAGCTTATTAATAGGTCCATGGTTATAGTATCGATGATTCTTAAATCGGCTTTCGAATTGTATCGGATATTCGTCAAATGACGTCGTAGCCGACGGCGAACAAGTTGATGCTCAATGAAGAGAATTGCCTGCACTTCTAGATATCAACAGTCATCAACTCTGGAATATCAATCTCAGCCTCCAAAACACCCGGGGTTACTCTTGATTCCAGTTTGGAATTGATTGAGTTTATTTCCTCAAATTTTTGCACCTCAGCCCCAACCATGGTGAGTTTGAACTCACGAAATGTCCCCCACCTGAAAAAAACAGATGCGCCCTTGCACGCACCGTTACCGCCAAATCCTGCGTCTGCCCCAGATAATCTCCCAACCGAACTAAGGGACATTTCCAATATTTTCAAACATGCACTCAAGACTCGCATGTAGTACTTCCAATTATTGTTTTCTGATTGTTGTGTCTGTACTACGTGTTGAGTTTGATTTTTGTGCCGTGGCACTCGCGATTTTTGTTTAATGCTCTACTGATTTTATGCTGCTTTGAGTTTTTACCTGAACCATGAGAAAAGGAAAACGCGCAATATAAATGCCCAACCAGTACCAAAATACAGTTACAAAAAAAAAGCAAAAACAAAATTCAGTACACAGAAAAATTAAACGAGAATAAAGGAATACGGCTGTCTCTTATACACATCTAGATGTGTATAAGAGACAGATATACTGTTAATGACATCAGATGAAGTAAGTCTCTATTTAATGGTTTGAGAGTGGAGTTGTTTTGGTCATTATTTTAATGAAAATGTTCACATCATTTTTATTAACATCCCCAAAGGATGTGTGCTATTGGTTTTGTTCATGTTCTTCTTTATGATGCCATTGGCATGGTGGAGGTAGTGAATGGTAATTACATTTTATATATAATCAAAAGAAATTTAAACAGTAGAGAAGTTATATTTCTGTCATAGTGTAATGCCAAAATATTGTAGTTCTAGTTATGATTTAATGGAGAAATTTAACTGGTACATCTTGTTAGTGTATTTAGATTTGTATATGCAATTATTTATCAATTTGTTTGTTGTTCTGCAGGCCTTGGATGAAGCATACAGAGTTCTGAAACCAGGTGGACGATTCTTATGCCTGGAATTCAGCCATGTGAATAATCCAGTTTTGCGGTCAGTCTATGATACCTACTCATTTCAAGCCATTCCTGTGTTTGGTGAAGTCATTGCTAGCGATTGGAAGTCGTACCAGTATTTAGTGGAGAGTATTCGGCAGTTCCCAAATCAGGTGAGAGATTTGTGGGAAAGTATTGCGCATATGATATACTACTGCTACCATATTATAATATTAATACTTAGAAAGCTCACATCAACTGCAATGGTGTTCAAAGCACCTTCCTTTTACACAAATAGGGCACGTCTCTTTAAACTAGTCATGTACTTTAAACAAGGTATGTGCCTTAAAAGAAGGCATGTTCATTTAAAGAAGGCATGTCCCTTTAAAGAAGGCATGTCTCTTCAAACAAGGTCATGTCCCTTTAAACATGACATGCCCCTTTAAATATGGCATGCCCCTTTAAACAAGGCATGTTCCATTAAACAGGACACAACCCTTTGAACTGTGCTTACCCTAGCATTTGAGAAATAATGAATGCAATGATCAACTTTACCATTTGTCTTTATATGTTTTTTGCAGGATGAATTTCAATACATGATTGAGGATGCTGGTTTTAGTTTAGTAAAATATGAGAATTTAACCTTTGGAGTTGCAGCTATTCACTCTGGATTCAAATTATGATTATAATTTATAGTATAACAACAAATAAACACTGTAGGTAGGAAATAATCACTAAATTTAACTGAAAAAAATATTTTCATAGTCTTCAGTTATATACAGGTTATTCTTCAGCCGATTGTTATAATAAAAAGCGTTTATCTTGTAATTCAAACCAAGCTTGCTTGCTAGGACGAACATTAAATGTAGAGGGTACAAATGCAATGTACAGGCTACTGTAGTTTCCAGTAGTTGAAGGGAATTTGAGACCCTAAAACAGCTGGCATAAAAGACATCTGGAAACATATAGTGGATTAAAGGAATGTGAGACTTAGGGGAATTGTGCATCATTCCAATACAGGAGGGTGATACCTAGAGGCCTACAAATGCCGAATCCGGGCAACATAAATGTTCTTGTTTTGGAATGTGAGAATTTCAAAATAAAAAATAGAACCCTAAATAAATCTACATATTGTTCATATTGTATTATATCATTGTAGTGAATAATGAAAATAAACATCAAGTCATTGAAATATGGAGCAGTTGAGTGGTTTATTACATGACTGTTGTCTAGTACTGGTAAACTTATTATAGGACAATAATGACACAACAATAACTACACTCTGATTGTCTGGCACCAGTGGAAGGATTGGGGGTGGGGGAGGAGATGAGTTCCCTTTCCCCACCTCGGTTGAAAAGACACAATTAGTCGCAGAGAAAAAAAAATACATGTATATTTTACACATAGTAGACTCCAAGAATATAATTTAGTAGACATATAAAGCCTTTAAAACCCCTTGTTATGTTTTTTTCAGGGAGCTTCGCTTCTACCAAAATGATCAAATACTTTACTTTTATTTGGCTTTAAGATATAAAGAATCAGAAGAAATACTGATTCGACCAAACATATAGGGGAAACAGGCAGACCTTTTAAAGTTCGATTAGAGAAAAACTAAACAGATGTTCATATCAACACCTCATGGGAGTATGCACAAGAACCGCAAGTACCTCTAATGTTGACACACAACACTAATCGGCTGTTACGTGGACCATAAGTAAAAAAAAAACAATTACAAAATACAAAGTTATTGAATAAATAAGTCAAAGATAAGAGAACATATATAGATAGGTCAGAATCATGAACCGAAATACACGAACATAATGAGCTTTCACACATTCTTGGTGGACCAGAAGGAGGAGGGCGTGTGGACGATCTGTGTACATCACAAAGCGCGTCCGTCACATACACCCGGTGACGTTTGTTTGTACTATTTATCGCACTCCAATTTCAAAACACTTGAATCGATTTAATTAACAGATCAATGTGTATAACCTTTCCTAGTGGTCATTCATCATCTCGGAAGCTGATGTTTGGTGTTCCTCAAGGATCTGTATTGGTGCACTGTTTTTTTTTTGTTTTTTTTTTCACACTTTAGGGAATATCATCCGACATCAATGATGTTAAGTTTCATTTTTACGCTGATGACCTTAAGCTTTATCTTAAGATTATTCCTACCGATGCTGTCATAGCTTATTAATAGGTCCATGGTTATAGTATCGATGATTCTTAAATCGGCTTTCGAATTGTATCGGATATTCGTCAAATGACGTCGTAGCCGACGGCGAACATATTGATGCTCAATGAAGAGAATTGCCTGCACTTCTAGATATCAACAGTCATCAACTCTGGAATATCAATCTCAGCCTCCAAAACACCCGGGGTTACTCTTGATTCCAGTTTGGAATTGATTGAGTTTATTTCCTCAAATTTTTGCACCTCAGCCCCAACCATGGTGAGTTTGAACTCACGAAATGTCCCCCACCTGAAAAAAACAGATGCGCCCTTGCACGCACCGTTACCGCCAAATCCTGCGTCTGCCCCAGATAATCTCCCAACCGAACTAAGGGACATTTCCAATATTTTCAAACATGCACTCAAGACTCGCATGTAGTACTTCCAATTATTGTTTTCTGATTGTTGTGTCTGTACTACGTGTTGAGTTTGATTTTTGTGCCGTGGCACTCGCGATTTTTGTTTAATGCTCTACTGATTTTATGCTGCTTTGAGTTTTTACCTGAACCATGAGAAAAGGAAAACGCGCAATATAAATGCCCAACCAGTACCAAAATACAGTTACAAAAAAAAAGCAAAAACAAAATTCAGTACACAGAAAAATTAAACGAGAATAAAGGAATACGGGGAAAGCTCTAAGCCATGAGGCTTGTTTCCGTAGAGGTCTCCAACAGAACTAAACAAATTTTTAACGTTATAATTTACGCTGAACAGTTTTCCTGTAAATATTTTTGGCTATTATATATAATTAAAAAAATGAAGAGTTAGACTAAAATTGTATGGCCCTTCCGTCAACCTCAATATTTAACATACCAACGACTTGAAGCAGGTATTAGTTAAATTAAATGACCTCTCTTTTAGAAATAAATTTTTTTTTTTAACACGCTGTAATCTTAACTTACTTGTCATAACCAACTAGGCATTCTTATACTAATCTCATTCAACTGGTCCTAGATCCATATATACAAATAAAAACCATTACCATCAACATTCATAATTATAAATCATTTCATATTAAGGATTTTATTATTGTAAATTAAATTACCACTAATAGGAATATAAATACCCTGGGCCTCCGTCCGTTTTGGGAGTGACAAATCAGATAAAACAGATTCTGAGTATCCTAAATTGTGGGTATACAGTTCTGTATTCATTTAAGATTTAAATGATATTCATTAATTAAACAAATAAACGTCACTTACAACCTCTTGGAGGCGATAATAGTGCAACTCGTTTTCGAAAGGGTGTGTCGCGTGATCGGCGCGCCATACTAAATAGTATTTTTTTGTGGTCCACTTTGTCGTTCCATACACATCGGACCTAAAAACAACAAATATGGCGACGTCCATCTTACTGACGGACAAAATTCAGAATTTTATAGATAGTGCCATATCTGAAGGTGTATCAGAAAAACTTAAACAACAACTGGAAAAGTACTGTTCTCAGAATTGTACAGAAAAAAGTGTGCCTGCTTCACTTGTTATTAAAGTTCATAAATGTGTTAATGATGGTAAGTTACTAGGCTAGCCTAGCTAGCTTGGGCCTTCTTCAGTTTCTCAGGCACGTTTTGGTTAATCAGAGGAAGACCGAGGAAGGGTACGCTTGGCCTGGTTGTAACTTGTAACACTACATTTGGACAATTCGTACCAGCCAAGTACTGTATGGTCAGTGGATATGCAGATATGCAGCTGAGGCGCGAATATCGTCTACAATATTATTGACTGATACAATACACCCTGCCTGAACTGAAAGTGTGCTGAGAACCTACCTGCTGCCCTGCACCAGCAACAATAGTTGATGTCTTTATAAATTCAATTCAATTTCCAAGCCATGTTCTGAAGCAATAATAATGGGTTTACAACATTTTTAATCTATATTAAACTTATCTTACAATTTGACTATGTTTTTTTCCAGGTCAAAACAAAATATATCTTCATGAATTATTAAAAGGTAGTGATTTATATTATGAAGCACTCAAACCACCCACTAGGGTAAGATTTTTTAGACTTTGTAGCAAAGGATTTATTTAGTTTAAGGAATTAATGTTAAAACAACATATTTTATTTAATGAAATCTGCTTAGGTGTATGTTAAAGCATATGGTTGTAACTCTAACCACAGCATTTATTTAAATCATATTTGTGTCTCCAGTGGCAGATCTAGGGGGATGAATAAGGTGGCTAGCCACCCCCTTCGTTTACCGTGAAAAATAAAACGATGGTCACTCATCTTGTTTGTGTGGTCCTTGTGTACTCTGGTAAAATATACACTTTTAATTTTCAGATGCCATTTAAGATCGTCCAGCAATCTACTAATTCCCAAAAAATCTCACGTGAGGGGGTGCCCCTCCCAAAACCACACCCTTCCCCCGCTTGTGCCTTCTCATCTCCCATTATCCACCCCACCCCCCATTGCTAAATCCTAGATCCACCACTGGTCCTCTCCATTTTTTGCAGAGGATACCCGATAGTCTGTCTGTGTGCAATGCACCGCAGCCATACTGTAAAGTTCTTAATTTCATGGATGATGCCTCAAAATCCAGCTCAGATTTGCGCTGAAAATCGCTAGGAAAGTTCATTGTTTATATATTATTAAGATTACGTCAAAATCTAATTTTAGGCAATATCTGCGTGGCAGTTAGCCCTTATTTTCCCAAATTCGCAGACAGATTTCTAGTCCAAATTTTTCGCAGAGGTTATACAGTAATCCCTGCACAGGCCTTTCTTTACAATCTGGCACCGCAGTAAATATAGGTATATTTCCTAGCGATCAGAGAAAGTTGCACTGTTTGCCAGTTTGCCAATTCATGGATCCAAAATGACCAATGACATGTCTTTATTCTAGTTTGAAATTGGCATCATATAATTTTGATATATTATTTATTGTTTATGAAATTCCTCCACCATTAATATTTTTGATAGTCATTCATCTTTCATCAGTTTCATCAGTTGGATAGCCAAAATATTTGAATGTGTTCATTTGTATTTTTTCTTCTCATTTCAACCTATAAGAGTCCAGAACTTGTTGCAAGACTAGAAAGGCTAAAAACTGAGCAAGAAAACAGAGAATACCAAAAGATGACCAAAAATGTCAGAGTTGAGGTAATCAAATATACTGTTCTTTCATTTACCTTCAGTTTTCGATTATACATTATCACTAATTAAACTTTGATGATTAATTACTATTTACGTTGAAACTTCAAACTCAGATTTAGTATTTATATGACAACAAAACTAAATTATTGTATTAATTTTTGAAAGATGTATATCTAATATGTTTTTTAATTTATATTTTTGTATAATATTATTGACCAAATCCAAAGTAGATCCAGGTGGAAGGGGAGGGGCATGACAGTATTTGGGCTGTCAAATTGGGGAAGACATGCCCTCCTGCCTCCTCTAGATCCACCCCTACTAACATATACTGTAACCTACCATGATTAAAATTTCTGTTGTGTAAACTTTTTCAGGCATTTGGCGGAAGTATTTTGAGCGAAATTGGGAAAGACTGTGAGTATACAAAGATTTTTTTCTAACAGCATATTTTTACTCTATTTCTTTTGTCTTTTTCATTTATTTTATTCATCATCTTCCTTTACACTGCAGGAGTATATTTTTATTTATACAGTACTTCTAATTAATAATTTTTTATCATCATCATCATCATCTTTTTTTATAATAAAGTATACATCTCCCAATTATTGAATACATGCCATCATGTATCAATAATCAATCAATTTTTATATTTTCTGTTTATTTACTGTCTCCATAACACACTTTTATTGTGTATTGATGCGTTCATTAAAACAAATTTTTTGCAGTACGTTCTACTAAAGCTCAACTTATTGGTGTTCTAAATGTTGTGTTAACTATTGTCGGTAGCTTTGTTTTTGGATATATGGCAACTTACTACGTAGGAAAACCAATTCCATATGTAAGTATTTTACTGTCAATGGCCGTATTCGACTGGTCGTTCTTTGATAAACCACGCGGGGGGGGGGGGGTCGGGGCAGCTGGGGGGGGGGGGGTTCGGGGCAGCTGAAAAAATAAGGTGATATGAGGTGATTTTCATTTACTTGATCATGATTTTTTTGCTTTGAGCATATTCAATGGGGAGGGGACTGGAGAATGTGCCCACTGCCCACACCCCCTAAGTACGCCACTTGTGGTCATTTAATCAAACACATGGAACACACATACTCAGCTCCCTGGTGAGAATTCCATAATTTTTGCAGCCAGTGATGAATCAATAGGCATTTACACCAACGTGCCGTGCTCAAAGACACCTGTGAAATGGATAGTGTGGGTCGTAACCTCAAGGAATCACACCCACTGCACCAACCACTCTCATTACTCTATGAATATTAAAATATACATAGCTACCCTTGTTACAGTAGATATGGTGTGAAAAGTATTAAAACATTCTCATGTTCTCATATGAATAAACAATTTTTTTTCTTTTTTTTTCAGTGTATTGTTACAGGTTTTGTTCTTGCCTCTATTGTTGCAGTCGCTGATATTTATTTTTTCATCAAAACTGAAGTTTGACAGAAGGTCCTTATATTATATTTATGTATTGCAACATTAAATTACTCGAAAACTGAATTATATATTATATTGTATATCTTGTATTCATCTTATGTTTTTTGATATATATCTGTAACCCAATGCAGAAGCGGATGCAAGGGGTTGCAGACGTTGCGACCAAAGAAATAGCGTGTTAGTATTAACTTGATGTAAAACATGGTTGTTTTATGGCATTCACTTGTAATCTACCAAGAACATTGCAACTTTGTACAGATTCCTGCAGAGAATCATGATAAGAATGAATAACTTAATTAAAAATCATTTCATAGAGTTAATTTCATGGCAAGTAAACATCAATAGGTAATTAACTATGTGTAGAAATGTTGTTTTTGAGAAAATTAATAAACCTAATAGTAGTAATAATGTTTATATTATAGCTATTATTATGTTGTAGATACAACAATAATAATAATTATTATTATTATGTATGTTCTGGAATTGATTAAGGATGGGTTGTTACGCATATCTAAAAAAAATAAATGTAAGTTATTATGTAATTTATATTTTGTCTGCCATTGTCTGCCAAACACAGATATGTGGTATTGTCGCGCCTTCACATTTATACATTCAATCATCAATCAACAAATATTTGTATAGCGCCAAGTTAATATGTGTACAGAGTAAAAAACAATACTATAAAATTATAAATTTGAAAAAAAAAATTCAAGAGAGCAGCTTAGCTCAGTCAGCTAATCTGGTGGTAGTCACTGTGTGTGCGCTGAACCGTGGAGATCTCTAGGTCCCCTGTTCAATTCCCATCGCTGCCTCTCCTTGTGTTTCAGCTAGAGGGCTGAAATACAAGTTACAATAGCACCGTCTTTCGGATGCGACGTTTAAGCCGTTGGTCCCGTATGCATTTATGACCATTGTGCAATGTTAAAGAACGCAGTACACTCTTCGGAAAAGAGTAGGGGATTGTCTCCCGGTGTACTGGCCAACAGGGTTCGTACGCGTCCTTAAATTCATTGAATGTCCTGGAAAAACAAATGAGCATTTTCCAGTACTGGAAAGTCCTGGAAATTTAAGATTGTCCTTGAATGTCCTGGAAATTTGATCATTTACCATTAATTGCAGTACTACACGTTGCCTAGTAACAGTAAATTGGATGAGAAACGTTCCCACAAGTGGGTTCCCACAATACTCTTGAGAGAATCAGGTCAAGTCTTTGTACGCCACCAATTCAGGAATGTTATCAAAGACAGAAAGAATGTCATTGCTGAAAATTGCCGACTGGCTGGTTCAGACAAACTTGTGCGATTCAGTGAATGGAGTTGTTCGCCTATGTTTTAGTAAAGGCGGTGCTTTTTTTTTTAATCTTGTATATTAAGTATGTTTGCATTTAATTTTTTATTCAGACATTGATAATCATAATCCTTAACTTTGTTGACATCTGCTATGGTGGTATTTGCTTTCTGCCGTGTGTTATAAACAGTACTGAAATATTAAACTTGAACTTTCAATCAGTTGAACAGGTCTTGTCGCACGTGCTCAGCCCGGTGAATTCACTTTGGGTAATTCATCACTCTACAGACTTGTGCACACTTGTTCAGCACGAATGGGCATGTTTTTGCCCTATCCAATGTAAGGCAATTAATTAACCATTAAAGTAACCATGGGAACGTGTATGTTTAAAGGTCGTTTACTGTTAAAAGTTCTTGAATTTAGGGCAAGCTATTTCGTTATACTGTGTACTTATGTTTCTGAAGTTTACAAAATCATTGAAACACAATGCTGGTCGGCAGCAGATCAGTGCCGATAGGATGGTGCTGCACGTTAACATTTTGCTGGAGAGTAGATTATAAAATTTGTAGGCCTATAACTAAGGCCTAATAATATTATACCTAAATATTAATAATAATAATAATAATGATGTTAGGCCCAATAGTAATGAATAATAATAAATAATACTGTATAGTATAATGATGTGTTGAGAATAGAGCATAACCATTAAATTAATTAATAATATAGTACATCATTCGTTTATACAACATTTATAAACACCTAAATATATATGAAATGAGATGCAATACATTAACGTCTCCGCAACGTACACCCATTGAAGGCTATATTGTTTGAACAACAACCCTGGACAAGCGGTAACCCACCCCGCGGCGCCACAAAAGAACCGAGTTATTCGGGCGCGCCGGTACCACAAAAGACACTGTCACGTTTAAGTTCTCTATGGTTTAAGCAAAGATAAGACCATTGTTGTACGCGCCGAGGGGAGAATTCTACTTCACTGTAGGCGATCACCTCTGCGTTACTTTACTTAGTACCTCTACTTCCCCATACTCGTGGAAATTCCTTTGCTACCATCAACTTTTACACGTGGAGATAAACTTAATTTCCCACGAGCGTGAGAAAAAGAGACCGGTCCATCGTTTCCGAATTAGAGTTTGATAAAACTTAATATACACACAACTAACATGCATTTAAAAGTAGTACAGCATATATCAGGGGTGGCGCCGGTGTGGGGGATAGCGCCCCCCCCCCCCCCCGTCGGGGAGAAAAAGCACAATTCGTCGGGGAGAAAAACAAATTACATGTATTTTGTACATATTAGTAGACTCTAAAATCGATTAAATAAGCCTTTGAAACCCCTAAATTGTCAAAATTGCCTGTCAGTCGTAAAATCGCCGATATTTTACTGTTAAGCTATATATTGTGTCCTTGAAAGTTCGAAAATTTGACCTTGAATGTCCTGGAATTGTCCTGGAAATTTGCTTGTTTAAAAACGTACGAACCCTGT